GTTTGTACTTTGACATTATGCGTTTTATGTGCATTGACATTATGTAATTCATATGCAACGTGAGGTATTGAAGAGAGGAAAATTAAATCAGGGTAGACTGAAGATAGTGGGAAGTAACTATAGTGCAAAGGGTTGGTGTGACGAGAGAAATATAATATTTAAATTGAACTCGAAAGAATTGGAGAAGAAGAAATTTCTTCTTGGATATTTTTATTTGAATGCATGGATATGAGGGTGCATTATTTTGGAATTCTCTAGAGTATTCTAGATAAAGTCGAATCGATTCTAAAGCTCTCGGAAGATTACTATGTTCTGTAAAGATTATAGATTTTCTTGTAAAAATTGTCTTGAAATCAGGAATTGGACAAAAAGAGAATGTTCGCGTTCAGAACGTTGACAACGAATAGTCTTATGAAAAATAATATTTATTGAATCATGATATTGAATAATACAATTAAATGCTACAGTAGTTCAGAAAATATCAAATCCAATAAGGTGTTAAACCACGACATAAAACGTTACGAAACAATAAACAGAAAAGAAATAACAATTTCCATAAATAGAGATCGTTCACGAGAAAATCTACTTCCCCGCCGCCCGAAAGAGAATAATAAGCAGCAAGGGATGATTAAACCCGCGCAATATTCGCCGAGCTTAATATTCAGAAAAATCCTTCGGCATGATGCCTCGGATGCTCGCATAATCGCTATAAAAACGGGGCAAACGATCGAGCGATCGTTGTTACCTTCGTTCGTTTGCTTTGAGCAAGAGGCAATTTCGTGCGGAACTGGCAATCCGCGTCTCGACGAATCCGTATCGAGGACGCGTCGAGCGATCTCGTCGAAGCATCGAGACTTAACAAACCGATACCATGACTAATGCCAGGAACGCAATTTTCCGGGAGCGCCGATCCACTCGGCAATCCGGATAACGGCCTAAGCAACACTTAGGTATCTAGTCGAGGCCCCATTCGCCCGGGATTCGAGAATTTATGGCCGCGCGCTCGTTAATCTATCCCGCTCGCGAAACTTTTGACGAGCACTCGTTGCTACTGTAAACAGAATTAAGAGCGACTAAAGTTTCTCCTATCCGGCCGCGCAAAAAGAATATCCACGTCATCGAGCCGCTTCGTTAAACAAACTGCCGGGCGGAAGGGTGTTTCGCCCGGATTTTTCGAGGCTCGCCGCGCAAAACGGAGAGGTTGCGGACGAGCGCGCGCCGCCTGAATCGGGATCTGCTTTCCATACCATTTCGGAAAACTCGCATGGGAGAGGATAACCGACACTAGCATCCCGCTTTTAATGAACTTTTTTTAATGGAATTTCGGAATTGCGTTGTGTTATACTTCGAACAGGCTTTCGGTGAGTTACAGGATTGAACTTGACCCTTGAAGTTTTCAGGGGTTTTCAGAGTGTTACGTTGTTACGAGTTTAACGATTGTTTTGTTGGTTAGTATTTCGAAATGGAAGTGTTTAAACTTTTGATCACTATCATCTGATTTTATAAAGCGCGTGCATACTTGATAGCAAAAGCATCTGCGGCTACATTAATATTTCAAATTCCATTCCGTATCAGAATACTGAATTCAGCCGAAAAAATTCAATTTCCCTAACTCGTTACCCGAGCAAGCTTTCTTACGCTGCTGAAACAATGTCCACGTGTAGAGTCACGCGAAACTTGCCCCTTCTACACGTAATAAAATTAACAATACACACGGTCAGCGATAAGGTATCGGCCATTAAGCAGCCATGTATACGGTAACAGTAAAGTTGCAAAGATAATTATCCGAGCCTCATAAAATAATTTCATTATCCCTAAGCAACTGCAACGCTTAAAAAATATTCAATCAACTCCTAAAACAAGCTCAGTTAGCACTAGGTCCAGGGGCATTTATTGTACAGTTTATTCTACTGGCCCTAGAAAAATTGATGTTGGTCCATTTAGATCTTGGAAATGGAAGGTTTAAAAGTAGGCAATGAGAATATGTATCAATTGAAATCATCGCAAATATTTACAAAATAATGTCTACAAAATTCAATGTACATCAAATTGACGCGTTCCGTCAATCTAGTAAAGCTTCCAACCCTACAGTCGCGAAAGGACCATCCACCGCTCTCCGTTAAACAAACCGGCAGGCGCAAAAGCGGTTCCCCCGATTTTTCGTTGCTCGCCGTGCGAACCGTGTTACCGTTGCACTCTTCACGCTGAAAACGCGCGCGTTCCTGGACCAGGATTTGCTTTCTACGCTACTTCGAAAAACTCAGTGAACCGGACGCGAGCCGGCAAGCGAAAGTTTTCGAACTGGGCGCGTCCCGACGTCGCGGGACGGGGGAACGAGATTGATATACCCTCGCCCTCATCCCTTCGTCCCCCTACAGCAACCCCTTTTTTTCGCTTCCTTCCTCCTTTCTTCCCGGTTCTCCCTCTTCCAGTTCTCTCCGCTTTTCTTTCGTTTGGTTTCGTCCGCCCCGACTCTTGCCGCCCCCTTTCAACCCGTCCCAGTCCGCGAGCCCGCCTTTTATCCCCGTGCGCGCCGCGCCACGTCCGATTTGTAATTCACCGAGCCCGGTCGACTGGCATGCGGGGGTGTAAAGTTGACGTTGCGCTCAAAAAGTACCACGTGGATAAAGTTTGAATGCGAAAGTTACGGGCAGCTTATACAGCCGGCGACGAGCGGCGCGTGAGCGGGGTGGCTAAAGGGTGGTCTACGGCGAAGACGAAGGGTGCAGCAGTAAGGCGGGGGGTTGGAGATATAAAACTGGCGCGCACGATGGGGATCTCGGCCCGATAGGGCCGTAAGTACGTTAACTTTACCGTTTATGTTCGACGAACGAGAAACACCGTGGACTCGAGTGAGAAAAGTCAGCTGGAACAGCACCGACCCCCACCCCGCCGCCGACAAACGCGATTTTTTTACGATTCCCTTCTGCTGAGTCTGCTGCGCGGATTTCACCTTCTCTCTCCTCTTTTCATTCCTGATCGCCCGGTTATATTGCGTGATACGTGCCGTCTGGAGGTCTACCGAATCACCAGTGTAATTGGGAAATTCGTTGCAACGTTCAACGGGTATAGCCGCGGAGTACTGTGGTCGGCGGTTCTTGATAACCGGACTGATTATGCTCGTTTAAACTGGAATTGCTCGGGTCGTAGGGACTTTCGGTGGAATTATTTTTATGGGTTAACTGTTTTGGTCTCTCTTGAGGATTTTTGGATCTGTAAACTTTAAGAGTTACAGGAAATATTTGTCTGTGATTGGGGGCGATTAGTTTGAGAATTTTTGAAGGGTTAATTGTGTAAGAAGTCTATAGTGAATTAAGGAATAAGTATTTATGGAATTTAATATTGTTTTCCTTTGTTTTGGTCATATGAAAGAGAATTTCGTTTAATTTTGATTTTGCTTCGTTCGTGGGAACGTGGAAATTCGTACGAAATTTCGTTAGTTTAATTGTAACATAATACTGTGTAGTTAATATTGTACATGTGAAGTTCATTTTCAAAATCAATTAATTCACTATTCAAATGTTTCTGTAAATATGAATCTTTGAAATTAATTTACAGAAATTCAAATTGAATAATAACTCGATTTCCCTGTAAAAGGTTTCATCAAGGTTTGAGAAAGAGTCTCATTACATTTTGTTGCACATTAATGATGTTGAGTTTTAGGAATCGTATCAGTTACAAATGCAACGTAGTAATTACTTTTATATTAATCCTAATGGATACAGGATTAAATGTAACTTGTCTGGCGCAGAACGCAGTATTTAAATGTAATTTATTAATCAATTTTCCGAATAGCGTATTGCAGCTTTACATTAATAAATACATCAACTAGCCAAAAAAAGATATTTTAAAACTGAATTCAGTTCTCAGTGAAGAATATTCGGCATGATGAAATTTAAATTATAACTGTTATATATTTCGAGACAGCAACAAAATGATAACAATAAAACGAGATACGGATACTTGTATTTTCTGGAATTCCTAACATAATCTGATTGTGGTCCTGCGTTCCTCGTAAATTGAACCCGATTGCTCACTAACTGATTGATTTAAGGTGGCCAAAGACTTGCTGAAATTTGATTGCTTCGGAAGTTGCCTGGCACTGGCGAGAGTTAATCCCGATACCCAAACCTGTTAAGACTAATTTGCTGTATAATTCCTCTGAAACTTCTGAGTCTGTGAAATTGATCTGCCTGCTATTAGCGACAGGAGAGATAAATTATATCGGAAGCTTCGGCGGCCAAATCACGGTCCAGTTTCAAATACTTTTCAGTCATCAATTCTATCAATTTGAAAAAATATCAGTTAAAAACTAACCGAAAGAATCTTTATAAAACCACAAATCGTTGCGAGAAATCATTGAAAAAGATCATGTAGAAAATTATGAAAATAAACATTAAAAATGCCTGACTTAAAAAATAAATTTTACACTATTTAACGGTAAAAATAAATATTATATTATAATAGAACGAAATAAAAATTTCAGCGAGAAACACATCAATTTCACAGTATTGTCACAAATCCAATTAGCAGCAATCTTCAGCATGTTTTAAAACTTTCTCATCGACCTATTTTTCGCCTTACTTCTTCCTCCGTTCGATGGTGTATCCGCTCCAGCGAAATTGTCGACGAAAACGATTCGTTCCGCGACCCCTACTAATTATTAAAAAAATGAGATTCGTTAAAATCCTAGGGCGCATCAGCTTGCGTCGGGGATCGATCGAGTACACCTTCCCGGAGTGCTCGAACAAGTTTTGCGGTAATTTCCGAATATTTCTGGGATTTAATTTCACCATTGCATTAAGGGCGGCGGTATACTGAGATCGGCCGAAAGGGGTTGAGAAGGGGTAGGATCAGAGAAGCTCCTTTAGGAGTCACGGAACTCCGGTCCGCCGAATCTGAAAGTTTTGATTGCGTCTTTGTACCTTGTCCGCCCAAGATAATCATTTTTTCCCCCATTTTATCATTCATGGAATGAAATATCGGATTCCCTGTTTCAGGTTTGCGGCAACGCTCCGGTCCCACCGACACCCCGAAAAGTGGTAAGTTCATTTTCCTTTTATTTTGGACGCGCTGAACAGATTCGCGATGCAAATGATTCTTGTATATTCATCTTCTACTAAAAACGTCTGCCCTGAAATTATGGAAACATATTAACGCCAGGGTTACACACATTTTTTGTACAATTTATTCTATTGTTCCTAGAAAAACTGATGTTCGTATGTTTAAATCTTGGAAATTAGATGTTGAAAAAAATATTATTATGAAACATATTCAGGGAATCGTATCAATCAAAATCGATGTAAATATTTGCCAAAGAAGATTTATAAAATTCAGTAGTATAGACGTTTATTTAAACGATGTGAATTTCTATATTTTTTCGTTGTCAACACAAACTTCGTTTTTTTTCAATATCGTTTCTTTTTTTCGCGTTTATTTAAAACAATGCATACACGCACACTACACCCATACATATGCACGCAGATCCATGAAGTTTACATCAATATTAACCTACACGTCTACAGTAGGCGTTGAATTGACGCGTTTCGTAAACCTAGTGTTAACGAGATACATTTTCGCAAGATATTAAATATATTGTATTAATTGATGTGATATTAATAATTATTATATTATATTGCAATTAATATTTAGGAAGGAATAAAGAAACTGTATGTCCTAAAATAAATCTTTTCACCGAAGATTTAATGCTTGGCTGTCGGCACGCGAATATTTGATTGGAATTTGATACTCGGAGTATCAAATGTCTCGATACGAATGAATTGAATTTCACCTCGATTGATATGAACTGGGAATCGAAGAGTGGAATACATTGAAATGTTGTAAAAACTTGAACATTCGTGAAAGAAATGAGGAACAGGGTTGTAAACAAATAGTATAGCTGAATATTCAATAGTAACTGTGTTTCGAAGTTTAGTATGTAGATTTCCGTTGGAAGTGAATGAAAATTGAAAGTTAGTTCGACAGTCGAAACTAGTGTACCCCGAAAGAATCGGTCGCGCCCGAAATAACAGAATTAGGGCCTATGCAAACTAGAGACGCGATCCCGTCGCGATTGACAAAACGGCAATGCATCGCGACAAGGATAATAAACATATGTATTCCTTTTTTAATTATGTACGTTGTGTAAGGCGAAATTTGTTTTGTATATGTGGTATATGTTCGTAAACACTCGTATGCGCAGGCCCTTAAACGTTAATTATGCGTATATTATCGTGGCCCGTTGGTGCCGGGCCGCGACACTCATTAGCGTAATTGACGTAAGCCTCTCGATTAACGAGGACATTTTGTAGCTGCGGGAGACACGGAAAAATGAATGGACCGCCAATAAATTTCGCCGGGAATGCCAGTGAAATAAAGATGTTAAAGCGCGACCGTCAGCCTCATAAATCGTTGACTCGTTTTCACCGATACTTTAAACGAGCGCGCGTGTACAACACGTGACGTGGAAACGGACAAGAGAGACTGGTGCGCATTATGCGTCTCATTACCTGAAAAGTTAAATAACCATGCATGAGCGGCAAGGACAATTTAAACACAAGTAGACGTTATCAGGTTCAGTAATTGTCACGTAACAAGTTTCCGTAAATTCAGCATTTATTTTTGAAGTAATCGAAATGCACATGATCTAAATGCAAACGAAAACTGTGGCAAATATTTTTAATTTTTGATTGTTCGTTCAGCGAGAAAAGAACTAAAATAGAGAATCGGTTACTAATACATCTAATAATTAAATTTTCAAAGTTATTGTACGTTATTGTTTATGGTGTATTTCAATTTAAATATTAAAATAAGAATTCAATCGGTTTATAGGTACACAATTTTATTCATATTTCCATTTTGTGGATATCAAGAGTCTTATTCAGCAATTCCATCGATTGAAAAATAAATTGAAGATTGCTCGTTTAAAAATACTCTGAACAGCATGACTATCGTTTCCCTATGCGCGAAATATAAGTGAAACGAAGTTAACACGTGAAATCGATTTTTTGGCTGGAAACAATCGAACCGTTTACGCGAGTTTACCGCCAGTCGTCGAGTAAAATCAAATTTCTGCGTCCCGTGTAATGAAATTTGTGTATTACGTTTTTTCGGAGTGCTTCGTTACCGGCGCAGTTGTATTGATTTTTATTTCTGTATTGTGCACCGGATTGAACTTCATCGGCCGGTTATATGTATGTAAATATTAACCATGTCCTTTCGAACAACGGAACAGTAGAAGCTGTATGTTTATCGTACTAATTGTGTACATGATAAATTGACGGGAAAGGTAATATCATTTTCTGAGGGAAATTCTGGGTTTCCCGTATTCAGTGAACCAGTATAAATGTCCTCTACAGATACAAAATAGAATGGCATATAGATTAGAAATATATTCTGCATCTTATACATGCAATATATTTCTATAGATTAGAAAAATTAGTTAACATTCTAGAATTTGTTTATTGTTTAATTTATAAAATCTGTACAGTAGTACCAGCAGATTTCAATGTGGACTGTACATTGCAGACATGAAATTTCCATTTGATGTCATAGTGAATACGAAGGTATAAATGTATTTTTATCGGAATGAATGGACCCTGTTTTCTAATATTGTGGTATTAATGGTTTTTAAATTACGTTTTATTTTTAAAAAGACACAGGAATAGATAATTGAATAAAATACAAATAAATAGAAACGATATAGCTCGTAGTGTACAGGTCTTTTCTCTTCTCTAGTCAACGCAACTCTCTCAAAATCTCTCACCACCCGCACTTAAAAACCATTCTCTCCCCCACAAGCATTCTTAAACACTCGGATGCACCCCTGGAAAGCTGACCCTGCAATCTTGGGTCCGTGACGTTGTGCAGGCCACTTTCCCCCGACCGTTTTACAGCCTGTCCTTCACTCACACTCATTCTTACATTCACTTTTCCTAAAAATACCTTAACCTACGCTAAAAATTCTAGATACTACAATATAGACAAGTTTTTGCAAATAGAAGTAAGTATCTCTGTTACAGAGTCAGCTACATAAATTTTCAATATATTACATATTTAATTTCACTGAGCTATTTATTATCAATACTTCATTGCAGTGAATCGGAAAATATACATTCAAGAATCTAAAATCAACCAAAAGAATTTACTTTTATCCGGAATTCTATAAATAAACTAGCCACATTCGCATTGTTCAAATATAATTCTTCGCAATGCACGAAAAGCAGAAGCTAAACATTATTTCCCAATATCTTCACATCCCAAGAACCTATCACCATCGCCGCAATCATCGAATAACAAAACCTCAATATGTTTCGATACCTTCACACCCCAAGAACCTATCACCATCACCGAAAACACGAAATCCGCAAATGCAATTTTTCCATTATCGTACACTAATGGCTACATTGGGAATCGATGTCTCAGTTCGATCCGCAACGCTCAGGGAGCTTCCTAGACACGGTTGCTCCCGTATCAGGGAGTAATGTATTCCGTTAGCGGGCGTTCGCGATGGAGAAACCACGGCGAAAGCATCTTTTTCCAACGGTGCCGACCGACCAGTCGAGCCAGGGCACGGACGTTTCCATCAAAAGGTTCGGGCAACGTCAGCCGAGACTCGCTTTCGGGCCGCGCCGACACACGGGAAAGTTAAATTGCTTCGGTCCCGACGTCATCGGTGGAATTTTTGGTTCCGTTCCCACGGACTGTACGTACGCGGCCGTGGACTTCGAGGGATCCCCGGGTTGGTTTAAAGAGGATCAATCTAATTGCACGCCGAATACCTTTCAGCGGGGAAACCGTGGAACGAAACCGATGGTAGCCGGCCAGGGATGGAAGACGGAGACGAAACGGTTCGATCGAGGCCGTTCGTTGCGGGGGATTTAGCAGTGTCAATGAAAATCAAATTAATACCGGACTGTTGGACCCGGACGATCTCAGGGTCCTCCGGTGTTCCGGAAATTCGTCCGGTCCACAGAGTTCAATGGAGTTTCCTAACCGTCATTAGGTGCTACGATAGAACCTCCATAGTTGCGCGGAATAGAGGTTGCTACTATGTACAGGTATCGGGTTTGCGCGATTAATTTATGCGTGACGAACGGAAGCTCTTTCGGTGCTGAATCGAGCTCGATAAGTCTTGAATAAATTGTTCGGGTAAATAAATGTCATCGTGTTTGTGCGTTCACATATTTTGTGATTTATTTATGTGATTACGTGCTCGTGAGACTGTAAAGTGTGCAATTGAAATTGTGTACGGATTTGCACAGGATAATGAACTGTTTCAAATAACTTTCGTTCCTTTTTGTTGTTTAAATAATACGCAAAACCTGTAATTCGATTTTCGCTTTGTGTGCTTATAATTCAATGAGTATTTAGTTGCGAATATTGAGGTTTTACTGTATCTGCAGTCAGGAGGTAACGTACGCTGTGGATATTGTGGGATGCCTTCAGAAGCTTGCATCTGTCTTCACAGGTGGCCAGGTGCTTCCAAGAGCGCGTGTCTCCTTGGTAGCAGTTACGTGTTCTGGAGAGCTCATCTGTACTTTTGGGCACATAGAGTCCTTTCAGGTGCTGGTGCGTTGCTTTGGGGATTGTCAGATGCCCTGAGGAACTTGCTTGCCCTTTTAAAGGTTATTTGGTGCCTTCAAGGATTCATGTGTACCTTCGGAAACACCCAGGTATATGCGTGTCGTTATTAACTGACAGAAATATAGAGGATGGGAAGTTGTTTTATACAATTTGTAAATTTTATCTTGAAGGACTCCGATGTAAAAATTTAACTAGAAAGCCTCATCAGGTTAGAATGATCGGATATTTTGATTTTTTAACATTTGTTTCTATTTCCGATTCGATGTTCTGATGGTCTCAGGACGTATTGCTATGCATATAATAATAATACGTACGTTTATACATGACAAATATATGCTTTCTCTTGAATACTGAAATTAATTTTGCGCTCGACACTACGTAACGATCGTCATTACGAAAGTCGAACTCGTATGAGAGTGAACATCGGGAAATCAGAATAAACGAGCACGCTTGTCCC